TTCTTCTGTTGTTTCCTTATCAACATCCATTGGATCTGCTGTTTTTGTAGCTCCTTTTTCTTCTGTTTCTTTTGCATATGTCTGTTCTGGAACTGCTTTCGGGGTGTTCTCTTGTTGTGGTGTTCCCTGATTCAGATCTTCTTGAACAGCTGGTGGTTCTGTTGCAACTTTCCCCAGTGGATCTCCTTCTTGGATGCTTTCCTTATTCACAGCTGCTGGAGCAGAATCATCTTGTTCCTTTGGTGTAGATGCAGCAAGATCGACTGTAGATGGTTGTGAATCATCTTCTTTCTGTGTTTGCTCCTCGTTCTCCTCTTTGTTCTTGTCTATCTTTGCCTGTTTGAATATTAGATTGATTGTTTTATCCAAACTGGCATTCATTTCTTCATCATTCTCTTCTTCATCATCTTCACACTGAGATTTTTCTCCTTCTGTTGGTTGAACATATTTATCACAGCTTTCTTTCTCAAGTTTCTCCTTGTGTCTGATCAGATTCTCAATTTGGCTGTTGTACTGGTCTTTGATTGCTTTCGTCATTGCCTTCATTGATGCTTCAATCAGTTTGATTGCATTCTCAGCCTGCATAATGGGAGTTTTGTAAGATACCATGGTGGTAATGTGTGTATGGTGTATGGGTTAGTTACCATGGTGGTAATACATGGTATTTGTAATTATTATCACAATTCTCCATTTTTATAACATGAAACCATATCTTACCACATGGTAACAAAGTAAAACAGAACAAGAATTATGGTTTCCTCCATTTTTATAACATGACACCATAGCTTACCACACATTACCATATGGTAACGAAGTAAAACACAACAGGACTTATGTTTTCCTCGATTTTTATAACATAAAATCATAGCTTACCACACATTACCATATGGTAACTAACTAAAACACAACAGGATTTACGGTTTCCTCCATTTTTATAATATGAAACCATAGCTTACCACACCTTACCATATGGTAACCAACTAAAACACAGAAGGAATTACGGTTTAGCATGTATTTGGACAACTGTAATATAGATAATATGTACTTACTTGGTTGACTGTTTTGATATTCTTCAAATCAAAGTTCAGTGATGATGACTGGTCTGGAGTTTTGTTTCTTTGTTTTTTCGGTGACTGATAGACTGACTCATTCTCCTCTTCCTCATCAGTTGCATCATCAGCCTCATCATCATTAATGTTGGCAACCTTTTCGATCTCGGCCAACTCTTTTCCATTGTAGTAGCTCTTAATGTTCTCAAAGTTTGTTTCGAGATTGAGATCATCATAGTAGCTTACTATTGGTGTTCGAAGCTGGGTTGAGAATGCCATTTCATCCAGTTTGTACATGAAGCATACCTTTTTTATGCAGATAGTTGTATTAGTTTTTTCAAAGATTATCATTTATATGTAAAATATATGAGTAACAAGGTTGAAATGGCCAAGGGAATGGGAGACTCACTGTAAGGAAGTGAAGATCTGCACTGACATAGAGGTTTGGTGATTTCAATCCTTCATTCATGTGTTTGAAGAAGTATTTGCACCAGTTGTAGCTGGTGAAATGTTTCAGTTCTTCAGTCTTCAAGTACTCAAGCATGTTGAGTTCAGCCATAGGTGCTGAAGTTGGACACAGCAAGCCTCCGGTGACCAGCAGAAAGAACAATTGCATCCATCTCTTACTCTGTGTGGTTGTAGGAAGATCTTTTTCTACCTGACTTAGCTTTACCCTTGGAGTGGATGTTCCATCTACTTCGAGTAGGGTTTCTACTGCATAATCTGCTGCGTCATCCCAAGAAATCGTGGGAGGTACAACTTCCCTATTCCCCATCGGCAGATCATATACTCTATGAAAGTCGATTGGTGATATCTTGATGCGTGTCCCGTCAGGTAACTTGAACGATTCTTTCTTTGGATTGTATTTGTTCATTACGAACAGAGCAAAATGATTGTTTATCTTTGTCTGCCTGATTGATATTAAGCCTGATAGGCCTAATATCTCAAGTTGCTCTTTTCGCTCATCTGTTATTGACATTGCAATTGCAGATATTCTTGTTGGGCTGCATCTTGTGCGAAAACTGTGTCTTGGTTTTACCATAGTGTACCTGAATGTAGAAATTAGTAATAGTCTGTTAGTATGCTTTTTACCATAATATACCATATGGTACCATAATGGTTTCCTAGCATAATTAATCAAACCATATATTTATCACATTTTACCATATGGTAATTACATCAAACCATGTCTTATAAGATCTTACCATATGGTAATGAAGTAAAACACAACACGACTTATGTTTTCCTCCATTTTTACAACATGAAACCATAGCTTACCACACATTACCATATGGTAATGAACTAAAACACAGAAGGACTTATGTTTTTTTGCTATTTTACAACATGAAACCATAGCTTACCACACATTACCATATGGTAATGAACTAAAACACAGAAGGACTTATGTTTTTTTGCTATTTTACAACATGAAACCATAGCTTACCACACATTACCATATGGTAACGAACTAAAACACAGAAGGACTTATGTTTTTTTGCTATTTTACAACATGAAACCATAGCTTACCAAACATTACCATATGGTAACTAACTAAAACACAGGAGGACTTATGGTTTTTTGCTATTTTACAACATGAAACCATATCTTACCACACATTACAATATGGTAACAAACTAAAACACAGAAGTACTTATGGTTTTTTGCTATTTTACAACATGAAACCATAGCTTACCACACATTACCATATGGTAACAAACTAAAACACAGAAGAACTTATGGTTTTTTGCTATTTTACAACATGAAACCATAGCTTACCACACATTACCATATGGTAACAAACTAAAACACAGAAGAACTTATGGTTTTTTGCTATTTTACAACATGAAACAATAGCCTACTACACATTACCATATGGTAACAAACTAAAACACAGAAGGAGTTACGGTTTCTTGCCTTTTTATAACGTGCAATCATAGCTTACCACGCCATACCATGTGGTAACGAAGCAAAACACAACAGATTCTACACCAGTTCAGCAACGCATGCTAACGATTCGGTAATGTAGCGAGTTTTACTACAATTTTCACATGAAGAGTGACTGAAATACTGTTTCTATTGTTCTATGGATGGATTTCGAAGAAAGAAGTGAGGTTTTACCTTGATATTTTGTGCGAAAACGATTTTTGAGCCTCGTTGAAGTTGGAAACCCTTCGTTTTTCAACGAAGAAGCGAGAACAGTGAATCGTTGAATGATTCTTCGAAAACCTTTGCGAAAATCGTTGAATGATTCTGTGTTTTCTGAAGTTTTTGGTGCGCGATTGGATGAAGAATGGAGAGTTAGAGAGCAGAGGGAAGTGCAACTGTCGCGTGAAAGGTGAGAGAAAGAAGGAAAGAAGGCGGGCACGGTTTAATGTCACGTCTGCTTTTGAAATTGTCAGATGGTAAGATTACTATTTTGCCCCCCCCCCCCCCCCCCCCCCCCCCCCCCCGCCGCGTGTAGTTACTTTTGCTTGATCTGACGGTTACAAATTAAATGCAATGGACGGTTGATATGCTGGTTACTGACGGTTACTGATATGTTGGTTACTGAGGGGATCCGGACCCGGGAAGAAGGAGCATTGTCAGATTGGATGGGAAGAGAGATGTAGGAAAGAGAAACTAAAAGGCAAGTGTTGAAAGAAATTCTCACCATCTCTACTTCTATCGAGAGAGTGCATCTCTAGACTCTGGTAACGGAAACCAATGAGAAAAGCAGGCGTAGATAATTAACCCGGTTAGGTAAAATGAGTGGCTGAAAACTAAAGAGCTACATGGCCTCTAAAATATCTCTGCTTTTCTCTGTTTCCCTCTAAAGCAGCATAGAAAACACCAAAAGCTGACTTGCTGAGCAACGTGGACTCACCAGGATCACACAAATGCAGCCAGAACACTAACTGACCAGCCAACCAGAGTTCTCATCTTCGTCCAAATAGAACTACAGCTTCAGAAATCGACCAGAGACCACCATACATCCACCCACACCCGATTTCCATCCGAGTTGTAACAGTAAATATGAGTCACAATGTGCAGTATTTTGTGTCTGTGTGCACAGTAAATGGCCCCTTAGTGGGTTTTCTTTTTTCAATAAAGAAAATGGAATCATTGGTTCTCAAATTATAAGAATTGCAATTCAGACCAAAATGAGTCGGATTTGTGAGCATTTCTTGGAAATTGGTGGGTCCTACCACTACTTTTATATGCGGTCAAATTACCCTATTTTTCAGCATTTATGTTCAACGAATTAACTCACTCCTTTGAAAAGCGGACACTTTTATAAATTTAATTTAATTGTTTTTTGTTATATAATTTAAAATAAAATTATTAAAATTCATTTCTATGTTGGCAAGACTTATACCAAACAAATCTTCTAAGAAAAGGAATTCCATTAAGCGAAGATTTTTGTAAAATTAATATTTTTTATTTGTTATATAACTTAAAATAAAATGAATAAAATTCATTCCCACGTACCAAACACATCTTCTAGGAAATGTAATTCCAAATTGGAATTCCATTTTCATTTCTATAGGAATTTTTACCAAATAAGCTGATAAGGATTCCATTCTGTAAATCAAATTATACCAAACAAATCTTCTAAGAAATGAAATTCCATTAAGCGAAGATTTTTGTAAAATTAATATTTTTTATTTGTTATATAACTTAAAATAAAATGAATAAAATTCATTTCCATATATCAAACACATCTTCTAGGAAATGTAATTCCAAATTTGAATTACATTTCTATTTCTATAGGAATTTTTACCAAAAAAGCTGATAAGGATTCCATTCTGTAAATAGATTTGACTTAACATCAAAGTAAATCGTAAAAGAACAACTTAAAATTATGAAACAGGTCCCATTAAAATAAATTATGAAACAGGTGGGCCGTGCCCGCGGGCACTGTTCGGTTCCTGACCCGACCCGTTGCAGTCCTTAACTAATGAGCTATAGACCGAGAAACGAGAAGGCAGAGAGAGAGAGAGAACACAGAACACTCTTCGGTTTCGGTCCACTCCGCTCTCGGCGACGGAGTAACGGCGGCGGAGAGGCGTCGCACGGACGGTGTGTAGGAGAGACGACGGAGGTTTGCATTTCAGAGCTTCAGGTTTGCCCTTCTCTTCCATTTCCATTGCCCAACAGTATCTAATGCAGTGTCATGAACAGACTTCTAATTCTCTAGTGAGTTTTCATGACCCGAGTACGGCTGTGCGAGAGTCGAGAAGGGGTTCTTGCTTTCCTCGTCGGTTTTCTTCGTAATCAAAGCTCTGATGGTGATGGAATCTTGTCTGTTCACTACGATTGCTTTAGTTCTCTGGTAGTGTGATGTTTATGCCTGCCCTAGGGCTCGCCATGATCCTTTTTGCTCCGCTGGCGTGTGAGAATGGATATCTGTTGTTTTCTTCCAAATTTGGGATTTGTGAAAGCTGCATTCAGACAGAACACTATAATTCTTCCCGTGGAAATCCGCCTCATTTTTTCACTGATTGATGTGCATGGAAATAATTATCTGGTTTTGAATTTAGGTCAGTTGCTTACAGCCTGCCTGAGTTTCCCGTGAATTTGGTCTGTTGCATGCTTCTAGGAGATGTGATCTTATACTTGTGTGTCTATTGCATTGCTTTAATAGAGAAAATGGTTGTTGGTTTTTATCAGCAACAGGTTGAGAAGCATGTATCTCCAGGTGAAGCTGCCATGGAATGTGATCATAGCTCCAGAAAACCTCGACATCAAGGGACTGCTGCTTCAGAGGGCTATCCTTGTGAAGGTTCTGGAAGAGTTTGCTAGCCGTCGAGCCCACAAGGACCTAGGGTACCACATTGCAGTGACTTCCCTGGAGAGCATAGGGGACGGAAAAGTGAGGCAGCACACAGGGGAGGTGTTGTTCCCTGTTGTGTTCAGTGCCATCACCTTCAACATCTTCAGGGGAGAGGTGCTGGAAGGCCGGGTGCACAAGGTGTTCAAGCATGGCGTCTTCATGCGATGTGGGCCAATGGAGCACATCTACCTCTCGTGCACCAAAATGCCTGGCTACCGTTATGTCCCTGGAGAGAACCCGGAGTTCATCAACGAGAAGAGTCCCCCGGTCGGGAAAGATGATCTGGTGAGGTTCATGGTGATCGGGACCAAGTGGCTGGAGGCCGAGCGGGAGTTTCAGGCGTTGGCTAGCTTGGAGGGTGATTTTCTAGGCCCCTTGCCCAGGCCAGAAATCTAAAAGCTCGTGTCACATGTGGATGTCTTTTCATCTAATGTTTCAGCATGTCTCTGCGAACAATTACTCTTCTAACTGTTATATGTGAATGTGTAGGTAGAACTCGACTCTCTACGCCTCTAGATATCTGTTAAACTTAGTGTTATTTCTAGTTGCGTGATGCTTATATTAAGCTACTTCAAACCCATCAAAGCTTTTAAATTGCTCGAAAACACTGTCGATACAGCGAGGGAATGGCAGCAAATTACACAAGCACTGCAGCAGCATAAATCAGCTCGATATTTGAACTACTTACACATCCAAAATTGTCAGTTCAACGTGAGTACTTCCTACTATGACACGATGAGTAAATATTTTTCATGTGGCATGAGAACACCATAACGACAATGATATCATAACAACACAATACAGGGATTTGTTCCTCAGTCCTCTTCATCATCAGAACTTTCATATGCTAACCCTAGTAAGCTTTTGATAGAATCCCCCTCTGCTTCAACTTTAGTCGGCTTATTCTCGCACTCTGGTTTGGTTGATGTTGATAAATCAGACTCTTCTTCTTTGTTCTCCCGACAGTTCTCGTGCTTCGAATTTTCTGAACCATGATTGCTTGAAACTCGAGGACGCTTGGGTTTAACTTCCACCACTTTTTTCAGTAGATCCTGCTGCCTACGGAATGAGAGAATTGCACTTTTTAAGCGACTAGAGTACGGCAAGTAGGAGACATGGCAAGAATGACAGATACCTTATGCCGCTCTTTGGTTTGGGCTCCACGCGAAGTGGTAATGGAACTGTGGCTGGCGTAGTATCCGCCAAGGTTGCAGCTTTGTGTCAATCAGTTAAGGATTACAAAGACATAACGATAACCTATAGACCACACGGAGTATTTAGACCTAGACCACCCAACAAAGCTATCCTTCCTCGTGCAGATATATGCACAAGTACAATAGACAATATTAGGTGAGAAGCATAGCAAGATCAAACTTAACAACTAGAAAGGAAAATATGTCATATATTGCTTTTTAAGGTCTACTAAGCAATTACTGAACCTTTGAAATACCACAAAGAGCAAAGGCCAAGCATTGGCATTCAGATCATACAACTGTCAATCATCATGCAGACATGGTAATACAGTGATAGCTTTAATTCATTATACTAAATCCAACCGCTACATTGGTATTCAGCGCATACATGCCAAATTTTATTAGATATATTCCCCTTTCCTTCCGTATTGACATGACATTTCCATTCTACTTAATTCAATCTCTACATTCAAGTTTGCTACACATGTAAGTTTTGAAATAATCATACGATAATCCACATAACGCATGAAGACTCCTGGAGCAAGTTTCCATGGCAACAGCAAATATAGTCATACCCTATGTAACACTTGTATGAAAAAGATAAACAATCAAGTGATCAACATTGATGAATTTTGCTATTTTATTCCGAGCAACAAAAGGATATTTTAAAAGCAGCAAATGCTCTCTTTTCCGTACGCCTGAGGAGCCGTTCAGCATCCTCTTCAGCTTCCATCTGCTCCTTGAGATAAAGTAGGTCATCACTGTCCAATGCTGCAAAACAAGAGCTTCGGAATTTAAAAATCTCTACCAAAGAATAAACACAAAGCCAGCTTCAATTGCTCAGTTCTCCAAAATCTAGCCAAGTATACAGGGTATTCAGGGGGTTAGTAAAACGAAATGATTCAGGGGGTTAGTAAAGTTGAAGAGGGTACCGCCTCTCCCATGAAGATAGCCTCCGCGTTCTCCAGCAACTTCTTGCATCTGTCCGCATCATCAACCCCATGGGACAAGCCAGGATCCCTGTCAGGGCATGTTATCAGAAAAAATACTCGAGGAGCTTTACAAAAACGAAAAGGTTAAGTAAGCCTCCTGTAATCACAAGACTAGATGTAGTAACCTATGTTACTTCTAAAATCAGAACCATGGTGACAACTCCATCACTAACTTTTTATGCACTACTCAATTGAAAACCCAATAACTGAGCAATGTTAGCACTAGCTTGTGTGATTTCCTGCTGTCCTATCCTGTTTGCTTTTGGAATCCTAACTCTCTGCATTCTAAAGTTAAACAGGCTTGTATGCGAACCTTATCCAATTTTACAGAGCTAAATAGCAAACAGAATGAGTGTTGCAATACCAAAGGAGGGATCAGGTATCGGAGAGGCGATGCGCTAACCTTAGCAACCATGCGCTGAAAGGTGACATCTTCATCGTCGATTTTATCCTTCCCCTTGCCCCATTTCTTATCTACAATCAAATCCAAAAATACGATACTGAAAGCTGCATTGTGAAAAAAGCAAGCTTGCTAGCTACAGTTCCAATCTCCAAGTTGGCAAAATAATAAAAGCGCTATTACTACCTTTGGGATCGGTGAGGTTGGTGTATTCTCGGACTTCCCTTCCCGCCATTAAGCCTATATGAACAAGAAACAACCCAGTTCGTTGCTTTACCTTATTCCTCCCCACTCCTCGAATCAACTATATCAACCAACAGAGAAGAGCTCAATTCACTAATGCCCAACTCCTCCAACAAGGAAGATGCAAAGGAACCAAAAGCTCTGTTTCGCCAGTTGAGAGAACCTTCCAGAATCTACGACGACAATACAGACAGAAACAGAAAGAGCCCTAATTGTCAGACCAATGCTGCAGATGGCCAAGGTTGCAGAGGAGAGAAAAAAACTACCAAGTAGGGACGAAGGAAATTGGGACGACGACACGAACAAATACGAAACCTACCGATCGGTTTTCTGGAGCAGAAGCGGCGTTGCGCGGAGAAGAAATTGAATCGGCGAAGCGAAGCTCGCAAATAGGGAACGAGGAAGTGCTGCGGTGGAACTTGGCCTTGAAAGTTGAATGTGCTATCCTGGCCTGGGAGGGAAGGGATTAATTAACATTAAGGGCTTTGTAACTTTCAGTGCCCGCACGGGGACTGATTATAAATTTGACAGCGGCCGAAATAACCAAAGAAGTCTCTCATTTGTTTATTGATAGCCAATTGAGTCAACAACTTTCCGATGATTTCCTGACATTGTAAATGAGTTCTAATTATATAGGAGCTCGGTTGAGAATTTCTATTATGTTTAGCAAGATTCACATATTGTTTTTATTAGTTTTACCGCTATTTGTCAAATATTTTTGATCAACTTTGACTTCCGTCTTAGTTATGTCTTTCATAAGGTAATTTTCACTTCCGTTTTAGTTATTATGTCTATCATAAGGTAATTTTGTAGTTGATTCTCTTACTTGTCAATTTTTAAATTTTGAAATATATCAAAATGAATTTTATCGTGTAGATTCTGATCTTATGAAATTATTAGGGAAAAAAGAAAAAATTAAGACTTTTTTTTTATGAATCGGCGGGATCTTATTCATCAAAAAGTGCTTTTGCTAGCAACACCCTTGCTAGCTAGAGGAACATTCACCAAAAAACGGCAAAGCCAACAAAGAACAACAAAAACAAACCTACCTCTGAGACAGATTTAAGCTAGTCATTCCAAAAAAGAGTCACCCTATCTCTCCCAAGAACATACACAATCTCAACCTTTATACCAGACATCACTTCTTGAAGACCCCTCACCTTACCTCCATACAGTCGACGACATCTTTCTCTCCAAGTCGGACTGATCCACGTTTGCCAGATAAACCTCCCTGCTTCAGCTTCCTCTGTTTGCTTGTCATACTTCTCAAGCAGCCATGAAACCATGGTCTCCCATGTTTGGAACTCGGGGACCTGCATAGAACCTTTAAACAATTCATCAAGAATCTGCCTAGTAAAGGGGCAGAGAACAAACAGATGCTGCCTACTCTCAACCCCTCCCCCACAAAGAACACAATTCATCGATCCCTGGAAACCTCATTTTTGCATTTTTTTCCTTTGTTTGTATACTTCCTCGAATTACCAGCCAAGTAATCAAACGATTACTTGGTATAGCCACACCCTTCCAGAGTAATTTCCACCAAGCAACCCTCTGCTGAGCAGGTCTAACAAGCTGCCAGACTCTTTTAATAGAGAATCGAGGCATTGACAACCCATCAAGCAATAAAACACCATCCCTGGTTGAAATAAAAGGAGCTATTCTACTTCTGAGCTTCAGAATTTTGCACCAATTCCAGGACCCTGAAGTGCAGTTATAGGACTAGAAGCATCTCCCATTCAGTTTGTATTTGGTGATCCATGCCACCCACAAAGACCCCTTCTGTAACAAAATCTGCCAAATATGTCTTGTAGCACAGGCCTGATTCCAGCTATTCATATCCCTAAAACCAAGGCCTCCTTCCTTTTTAGGATAGGTAATTTTCTTCCATGCAACATTAGCTCTAAGCTTCACCCCTCTTTCCACTCCCCATATGAAATTACTGCACTGTTTCGTTGGCGAAACTCGCGCGTTCAATGCGCTCTGATTTCAAGGAAACAAAAACCCAAAGTCAGCAAAAATCGTCAAATATCCGCCACCGAATGTCGGCGCCGTTGATTTGATCGATTAAACAGAAACCAAGATGACTGTCAAATATCCACCGCCGGTGTCGGCGATGTTGATTCGATCAATACACCTTTGACTTCTAATCAAACAACCGTTACTCGGTTCACCACCTCTCCAAACTACGTTCGAACGAGGGTGTTCAACGAGAAACGAGAAACCAAACCGGGAGTATTCTAAGTTACGTTACCTCTACTCCTATGGAGGTTCCTCTGGAGAGCTCCGCAACTACGACTACGAGCTACGATCTACGACTCTGCAAAGGAGTTCTTTGACAGAGCGGTTCTACGAAACTAGAGAGAAAAAAGATAAATCTGCGTAGGTGCAGTTTGTGATTTGATTTTGCCGTCTTGAACTTCTCTCTCTTCCCAATCTTTATACTTCGCGCTTCTCCTCGTCGTAGTAACCGCCTTCGCGCCTTTGTCTCCCACGTCTTCACTCCTGTCAACCGTGCAGGCAACTTCCTCCTTGTTGCGTAACTCCCACGAGTGCGAAACCGCTTGAGCACGTGGCAACTTGGTCCAAAACGTCACTGACCCAAAATCCGCCATGGTTCAACTCTCGTCACTGCGACGTTGTTTTTAATTAAACAACATCGTTTCAGTATCGCGACGGCGTACCTCCCACGATGTCGTTTTCGGCTAAAGCGACACCGTCTTACCTGATCCTTAAAATATTAATTAAACCGGCCATCATTGTTGGCACGCTGTCAAACTCTCACTCCGCGCCGCCGTTCTTAATTAAACAGCATCGTTTTCTATTTCTACGATGCTGTTGAACTTTGCGATGCCGCTTTAAATTTAACACTGTCGTTTTAACAACTGCGGCATCGTTTGGCCCACTCGCGGCATCGTCTTTAAATCCGCGGTGTCGTTCCTTCTTCTTGCGGCATCGTTTTCAACTAACGGCACCGTGCTAAAAAGTCATTAAAATATTAATTAACTAATCTGGCCATCACTAGTCCACGACCAACGACCTCGTTATCTCCAAAACGGCTCCGTTTGTTTTTCCTTTTGAAACATTGTTTTTTATTAAACACTGTCGTTTGCTTGTATAGCGGTGCCGTTGGGCTTCCTCACGGTGCTGTTTTTAATTCCGCGGCACCGTTTTAACTTTCCTCGGTGCAGCTTCCGAATAAAAATAATAATTAATTAGAGAAAACTCCTTCTCCAATACCCACGCGCGGCCCTTTTGTTTTTCGGTAAGCGGTGTCGTTTGCAGTACTGCGGTACCGCTGAGCTTCCTTGCGGTACCGTTTTAGTTCTCCGCGACACCGCTCGACTCCCAACGACACCGTTTTTTACCCGCGGTATCGACTTAAATGCCGAGACTAATTAATGGGGCATTTAATTTCAGCCAAATTAATTTTAGATGTTAACAAATGCCCCCCACAATTTGGTTTATAGGAATTATGAACCAAATTGTTGACAAAACTTAAATCACCTAAAATTTCAGCCAGCTTGCTGTACAGCCACTAATTCTACACGAAACTTTGCGGCCAAATTTCCCAGAAGACATCAATCCTGCATTTACAGCTGCCAAGCCAACACTTTGTCTAAGAAAAATGCTTGCATATTAGTGTGGCCAAATTCATGCATGCCAACGTAGCTAGCATGGCCATCCAATCTTTCTCCTTAATATATAAATATATATATATATTTTTTTTATATAGATATCAGGGCTGTTTGGAAACAGCGGCAGCGCTGGGAGCCCCCTTTTTTTTTACCAGGGCTGTTAGCAGCCCTCTTTTTACTTATTAATTTTGTTTTTTTATTTATTTATTAGTATTTTCCGCCAGAGCTGCTGCGGCAGACCTGAAAAAAAAATTTCTTCTTTCACGGCTGGGGAAACGGCGGCAGCGCTGCATGATTATTTATTTATTTATTTATATTTTTTTTATAATTTGCCGCCAGAGCTGTTGCGGCAGAACTGATTTTTTTTTGTGCCTTCCGCCAGAGCTGGAAAAAAAAAAAATTTCTTCACGGCTGGGGAAACAGCGGGCAGCGCTGCATAGCATTTTTTTTATTTTTATTTTCTCATCAAGGAAAGCAAACAAATCTCTATCCCTTTCCTGCGGTGGAAAGGCTTCAAGTATCCTTTTCCATACCGGTTTGGGCATTTACTCTCATCCTCTATAAACAAACAGCCTTGCTACCCTCATCATTCCCATTCATCACCGTTGAATTTCGGCAAAGCTCTCCACCCCGCCATCGACTCTTCCTCGAGCACGCAACCCCAACCTTGTCAACACACATCAAGGCCCCAACATGGCTCCTGGCGGTCGAGTACCTCCTCAAATCCGGTACTTAATTTTTCACGCCAAACTCTTTCTCTCTCTTTTTTTTTGTTAATATTATTATTATTATTTATTCATTATTTTCGGCGCCCCTGTATATGTTATGCAACTTGGCATATGACCAATGTAAATTACTCGTACCTTTTCATTCCCGCTAGCCGATGTTGGTGCTTTACTTCCTGTACGGCATGCCTCTATCTTTGCTGCTTTCCTTGATTATTCCATGCATGCTTCATACGTGAACCGCCATGTACCCAACTGCCCTGTCTTTCTTTAAATCGAATTACTCCCCCGCCTTTTAACTTTTACTTGCTAGCCTCTTCTCTTGACAGGCCCCCTCCAGTCGACCTCGCAGCTCACGTATGCAGTATTGACGATCCACAGGAAAGATGAAGGAACCTGGATAGCTCTCACGCCATCGAACTTGACACTCTTTCACTAACAGACAAAGGAGAGGGATTGCACGGTCCTGCTATCACCAACCCCGTCGATCCAACCATGGCCGATCTGAACATTTACCCCACTGCTCACGCTCAGCTCCTCCTTCGTTGTTCACCCACCGACAATCCATACTTCACTCAACAGAAGCCGAAACGACCTCTATCTTCATGGGTTCTCTTCGACAAGGACTTTGT